CCCATCCCCCCCGTCCCCCCGCTGTCCCCGCCGCCATGCCGGAGGCCGTGCACTACATCCACCTGCACAACTTCAGCCGCTCGCTGCTGGAGACGCTCAACGGGCAGCGCGTGGCCGGCCACTTCTGCGACGTCACCGTGCGCATCCGCGAGGCCTCGCTGCGCGCCCACCGCTGCGTGCTGGCCGCCGGCAGCCCCTTCTTCCACGACAAGCTGCTGCTGGGCCACTCGGCCATCGAGGTGCCGCCCGTGGTGCCCTCGGCCGCCGTGCGCCAGCTGGTCGAGTTCCTCTACAGCGGCAGCCTGGTGGTGGCCCAGTCCGAGGCGCTGCACATCCTCACGGCCGCCTCCGTGCTGCAGATCAAGACGGTCATCGACGAGTGCACGCAGATCATCTCGCAGGCCCGCGGCCCCGCCGCGCCGCCCGCACACCTGGGGGCCCTGGGGATACATCTGGGGACCCCGGGGACACACCTGGGGGTGCTGGGACACACCTGGGGGCGCTGGGACACACCTGGGGGCGCTGGGACACACCTGGGGGCGCTGGGACACACCTGGGGGCGCTGGGACACACCTGGGGGCGCTGGGACACACCTGGGGGCGCTGGGACACACCTGGGGGCGCTGGGACACACCTGGGGGCGCTGGGACACACCTGGGGGCGCTGGGACACACCTGGGGGCGCTGGGACACACCTGGGGGCGCTGGGACACACCTGGGGGCGCTGGGACACACCTGGGGGCGCTGGGACACACCTGGGGGCGCTGGGACACACCTGGGGGCGCTGGGACACACCTGGGGGCGCTGGGACACACCTGGGGGCGCTGGGACACACCTGGGGGCGCTGGGACACACCTGGGGGCGCTGGGACACACCTGGGGGCGCTGGGACACACCTGGGGGCGCTGGGACACACCTGGGGGCGCTGGGACACACCTGGGGGCGCTGGGACACACCTGGGGGCGCTGGGACACACCTGGGGGCGCTGGGACACACCTGGGGGCGCTGGGACACACCTGGGGGTGCTGGGACACACGTGGGTACTGTGGTGACACACTGGGTCTCGTGGTGACACGTGGGTCGCATGGTGACACACCTGGATCCCATGGTGACACATGGGTCTCGTGGTGACCCTCAGGGTGCCCTGTGTCCATCCGTGCTGGCCTGGGTCAGTCCCTTGTTGTCCTGTCACCTGAGCCCACTGACCACGTTGGCCTGTGCTGGCCTGTGCTGACCCATGTTAGCCTGTGCTGACCCACGTTGGCCTGCAGTGACCCACATTGACCTGTGCTGACCCACGTTGACCTGTGCTGACCCACATTGACCCATCTTGGTTGGTTGACCCATGTTGACCCTCCCCAACACGTGTTGTTCCCTTTTGACCCATGCTGATCCATTGACTCGTATCGCTCTACGTTGACCCGCGTTGACCCTGGCCAACTGATGCTGGTCCATGTTGGCCTGCGGTGATCCGTGGTGACCGTGGATCAATCCGTGGTGACTTGTATTGGTCGATCCACATGGACACACGTGGGTCCATGTTGATCTGTATCAATCCATGTTGACCCATCTTGACTCGGTTGGCCTGCGTTGACTTGGGTTCATCCTTGTTGACCCATGTTGTCCTGTTCTGGCCCATATTGATCTCTGTTGATCCATGTTGGCCAGTATTGATCCATGGTGACCCATCTTGATCAATGTTCGACCATATTGATCCCTGTTGCTGGTCCATCTTGGCACACGTTGACCCATGTTGGCCTGTGTTGACCTATGTTGACGCGTGTTGATCCACACTGACCCTCGTTGACCTGTTCCAATCCATGCTGACCCCTGGTGACACACATGGACCTGTATTGATCCATGCTTACCCATGTTGAATTGTGTTGGTTCACATTGACCCACATTGATCCGTTTTGGCCCATGTTGACACATGTTGACCCATTTTGGTCCATGTTGACCTGCATTGATCTGTGTTGACCCACATTGACCTAATTTGGCTCACGTTGACCCACATTGATCCATTTTGGCTCATGTTTACCTGTAATGATCCATGTTTAGCCATGTTGATCCATATTGGCCCATGTTGGCTCATGTTGACCTGTATTGATCCATTTTGACCCACGTTGAGCCATTTTGGCCCGCGTTGACTCACATTGATCCATTTTGGGCCACATTGACTCACATTGATCCATTTTGGCCCATGTTGACCCACATTAATCCGTTTTGGCCCATGTTCCCCTGTATTGATCTGTGTTGAGCTGTACTGATCCATTTTGGGCCACATTGACTCACATTGATCCATTTTGGCCCATGTTGACCCACATTAATCCGTTTTGGCCCATGTTCCCCTGTATTGATCTGTGTTGAGCTGTACTGATCCATTTTGGGCCACATTGACTCACATTGATCCATTTTGCCCCATGTTGACCCACATTAATCCATTTTGGCCCATGTTGACCCAGATTTATCTGTGTTGACCCACATTGACCCACACTGATCCGCTTTGGCCCATGTTGACCCACATTGATCCGTTTTGGCCCTTGTTGACCCACATAGATCTGTGTTGACCCACGTTGACCCACATTGATCCGTTTTGGCCCATGTTAACCCACATTGATCCGTTTTGGCCCATGTTAACCCACATTGATCCGTTTTGGCCCATGTTGACCCACATTGATCCATTTTGCCCCATGTTGACCCACGTTGATCCGTTTTGGCCCATGTTGACCCACATTGATCCATTTTGCCCCATGTTGACCCACGTTGATCCGTTTTGACCCACGTTGACCCACATTGATCCGTTTTGGCCCATGTTGACCCACATTGACCCACATTGATCTGTGTTGACCCACGTTGACCCACATTGATCCGTTTTGGCCCATGTTGGCCCACATTGATTCGTTTTGGCCCACATTGATCCGTTTTGGCCCATGTTGGCCCACATTGATCCGTTTTGGCCCATGTTGGCCCACATTGATTCGTTTTGGCCCACATTGATCCGTTTTGGCCCATGTTGGCCCACATTGATCCGTTTTGGCCCATGTTGGCCCACCTTGATCCATTTTGGCCCATGCTGACCTGTATTGATCCGTGTTGACCCCTTTTGACCCACGCTGACCCTCATCAATCCACACTGACCTGTATCGATGTATGTTGACCCCTATCGATCCATCTTGACCCATATTGACCCACACTGACCCCTGCTGACCGGTACTGACCCACACTGACCCACACTGACTGGTACCAATCCACGCTGACCCACACTGACCAGTACCAACCCACACTGACCCACACTGACCAGTACCAACCCACGCTGACCCACACTGACCAGTACCAACCCACACTGACCCACAATGACCAGTACCAACCCACACTGACCCACAATGACCAGTACCAACCCACACTGACCAGTACCAACCCCCGCTGACCCACACTGACCAGTACCAACCCATGCTGACCAGTACCAACCCACACTGACCCACACTGACTGGTACTAGCCCACACTGACCCGTACCAGCCCACGCTGACCCACACTGACCGGTACCAGCCCACGCTGACCCACCGTGACTCCAGTTCCCCCCGTTTTCATCTCCGCAGGCGAGAAGCCCCACCAGTGCTCCATCTGCTGGCGCTCCTTCTCCCTGCGGGACTACCTGCTCAAGCACATGGTGACCCACACGGGCGTGCGCGCCTTCCAGTGCGGCGTCTGCTGCAAGCGCTTCACCCAGAAGAGCTCCCTCAACGTGCACATGCGCACGCACCGCCCCGAGCGCTTCCAGTGCCGCCTCTGCACCAAGGGCTTCTCCCACCGCACCCTCCTGGAGCGCCACGCCGCCACCTCCCACCCTGTGCCGCCGCCGGGGCCGCCGCCGGGGCCAGCACCGGGGCCACAGCCCGGGCTGCCGCTGGGGCCACCGCCTGGGCTGCCACCAGGGCCACCGCCGGGGCTGCCACTGGGGCCGCCGCCGGGACCGCCACCGGAGCCTGGACTGGGCACGTGGCCGGGGCCGGACGTGGCGGGCGCTGGCCCCACTCACACGGCCTGAAGGGGGGGTCCCTGCCCCTGGAAGGGCCTTGAGGGTGAGCCCGGGGGCTCCTCGGTGCCCACGGGTGCAGTGGAGCAGCCGGGGTGAAGCCTGGAGGAAGCGTCGGGGATGTTCTCCGTGGGATTCAGGAGGCTGTGGGGACGTTCCTGGTGACAGCAGGAGGGGAGCAGGGCGCCCTGATGGGAACGGGGACGTGGGGAAGGGCCGGGGCTCCTAGCAGCAGCGGGAGCACGGGGCAAATCCCGCCGGGAGCCGTGCCCAGGAGGTGCCGGCAGGAGGAGGCCGGCGGTGGCCAACTCCGGGAAAAACGGAGCCTGGGAATCCCTGTGGCCCTGGGGGGAGGGTGATGATGTCATTGACCTGATGGGACCCATGGAATGTTCTGGAACTGCTCTGGGCACAGGGATTGGATGGATGGACCATGAGTGGCCATGGAGATGCTCGGAGGGCTGGACCATGAGGGTGATGATGTCATTGACCTGATGGCACCCCTGGAATGTTTTGGAACTGCTCTGGGCACAGGGATTGGATGGATGGACCATGAGTGGCCATGGAGATGCTCGAAGGGCTGGACCATGAGGGTGATGACATCATTGACCCGATGGGACCCCTGGAATGTTCTGGAACTGATGTGGACACAGGGATTGGACAGATGGACAGTGAGGGTGATGACGTCATTGACCCGATGGCACCCCCGGAATGTTCTGGAAATGATCTGGGGACAGGGATTGGATGGATGGACTGTGAGGGTGATGACGTCATTGACCTGATAGGACCCCTGGAATGTTCTGGAACTGAGCTGGGCACGGTGATTGGATGGATGGACCGTGGGGGTGATGACGTCATTGACCCGATGGCACCCCTGGAATGTTTTGGAAATGATCTGGGGACAGGGATTGGATGGATGGACTGTGAGGGTGATGACGTCATTGACCCGATGGCACCCCTGGAATGTTTTGGAACTGCTCTGGGCACAGGGATTGGACGGATGGACCGTGAGTGGCCATGAAGATGCTCGGAGGGCCGGACAGACTTGAGGTGTCCCACCTGGAGAAGGACCCAGGGACACCAAGGGGTGACCCAGGAGCTGCGGAGGGACGTGGGACGAGGCCCTGCAGCGCCAGGCCACGAGGAGCAGTGGGAAAGGGGAGAGGGAGGTGGCTTTTGGGGAGAAATCCCTGGGTTTCGGGGAAGGTCCCTCCCCAACCGTTCCGAGGCTCTGTGACGCCCCGGGCGCGGATGTCCCCTGCAGGGACACCACAGGGTCCCTCCCTGTCCCCTCCCCGCCTGTGGCTCCTGTCCCCCAGACGGTGACAAAGAACCCGGGGGTTCAGGGACCCTTGCGGTGCCGTTTTTTACACTAAAACAGACGTCACCTGAGGTGTGTCCCCTGTGGTCTGTCACCTGTGGTGTCCCTGTGCTGTGTCACCCGTGCTGTGTCCCCAGGGCCACCACGCCGTGGTGGCAGCAGCCACAAGGCCACGTGCTGTGTCCATCACAAACCCCGCCGAGATCCACACGGGGACACCCAGGGCCACCAGGACACAGCCAGGGGACAGGGGGGACACTGGGGACAGCCAGGACACCGGGGGGGCACTGGGGACGGGGGGACACCGGGGGGACAGGGGGGACACTGTCCCGGGGCCACCAGCCTCCGCCGTTGGTGCCAGTGCTGCCCAGGGCCCTCCCAGTAACCCCCAGTGACCCCAGTGACCCCAGTAACTCCCAGTGACCCCAGTAACTCCCAGTGATCCCAGTAATTCCCAGTGATCCCAGTAATTCCCAGTAATCCCAGTAACTCCCAGTGACCCCAGTAACTCCCAGTGACCCCAGTAACTCCCAGTGATCCCAGTAACTCCCGCCCCGGCTCTGTTCCCCATTGGTTTGCCCAGCTGTCAATCTCAGTCTCGCCCCCGCCTCCCCGCAGAGCGCCGATGCCGATTGGTAGGTCTGTCCAAGAAGTCCCCGCCTTCTCCCGGGGCTCTTCGGCCGCTGATTGGTTCAGCTCTAGCCGCTCTGCGCGCTGATTGGCCCATTCGCGTTCACATGCCGGGGGCGTCTTCCCGCCCTTTCTTTCCCGCCTTCTCCTCTCCTATTGCTCCCGCGCGCTGTCAATCTCCGCCAATCCCCGCCCTCCTGCCCTCCCATTGGTTCCTCGCCCTGTCAATCTGTCTCAGCGGGCGGTGATTGGCCGCGCCGCGGGGCGGGGGCGGGAGCAGGAGGCCGTGCAGAGTGTGAGGGGGACGCCGCCGCCATGTCGGTGCTGCAGCCGGCGGCGCTCGGGACCGGCCCCGGGGCCAAGGGCGCGGAGCTGCCGGAGCCGCTGGGGCTGCTGGAGCTCTGCGGCGCCTGCCGGGAGCGCCTGAGCCCCCAGCGCGAGCCGCGGCTGCTGCCCTGCCTGCACTCCGTGTGCCGCGCCTGCCTCGGCGCCGCGCCGGGAGCGGCCCCCAGCGACGGGAGCGGTGAGGGGGAACTGGGGTTACTGGGAGCACTGGGGGTTACTGGGGTTACTGGGAGCACTGGGGGTTACTGGGGACACTGGGGGTTACTGGGATCACTGGGAGTTACTGGGAGCACTGGGGTTACTGGGATCACTGGGCGTTACTGGGATCATTGGGGTTACTGGGAGCACTGGGGTTACTGGGATCACTGGGGTTACTGGGAGCACTGGGGTTACTGGGATCACTGGGAGTTACTGGGAGCACTGGGGTTACTGGGAGCACTGGGGTTACTGGGATCACTGGGGTTACGGCGGGGTAGGGCGGGGGGTTGGTGGGGACACTGGGAGCACTGGGGGTTACTGGGAGTTACTGGGATCGCTGGAGTTTGCTGGGGTTACTTGGGAGGTACTGGGATTTACTGGGATCACTGGGGGTTACTGGGAACACTGGGGAGGCACTGGGGGTTACTGGGAGCACTGGTGGTCACTGGTGTTTTTGGGATTTACTGGGAATGCTGGGGGTTAGTGGGAGCACTGGGGAGGGAGGCACAGGGGATTACTGGGGGTTACTGGGAGCTCAGGGTGCACTGGGGAGGCACTGGAGTTACTGGGGGGCACTGGGGTTGCTGGGATCACTGGGATCACTGGGGTTGCTGGGATCACTGGGGTTGCTGGGATCACTGGGGTTACTGGGAGCACTGGGGTTACTGGGAGCACTGGGGGTTACTGGGAGCACTGGGGGTTACTGGGGGGCACTGGGGTTACTGGGATCACGGGGAGTTACTGGGAGCACTGGGGTTACGGGGATCACTGGGCGTTACTGGGATCATTGGGGTTACTGGGGGGCACTGGGGTTACTGGGATCATTGGGGTTACTGGGAATTGGCCCATTCGCGTTCACATGCCGGGGGCGTCTTCCCGCCCTTTCTTTCCCGCCTTCTCCTCTCCTATTGCTCCCGCGCGCTGTCAATCTCCGCCAATCCCCGCCCTCCTGCCCTCCCATTGGTTCCTCGCCCTGTCAATCTGTCTCAGCGGGCGGTGATTGGCCGCGCCGCGGGGCGGGGGCGGGAGCAGGAGGCCGTGCAGAGTGTGAGGGGGACGCCGCCGCCATGTCGGTGCTGCAGCCGGCGGCGCTCGGGACCGGCCCCGGGGCCAAGGGCGCGGAGCTGCCGGAGCCGCTGGGGCTGCTGGAGCTCTGCGGCGCCTGCCGGGAGCGCCTGAGCCCCCAGCGCGAGCCGCGGCTGCTGCCCTGCCTGCACTCCGTGTGCCGCGCCTGCCTCGGCGCCGCGCCGGGAGCGGCCCCCAGCGACGGGAGCGGTGAGGGGGAACTGGGGTTACTGGGAGCACTGGGGGTTACTGGGAGCTCTGGGGGTTACTGGGGGGCACTGGGAGCCACTGGGAGCACAGGGGGTTACTGGGGGGCACTGGGAGCACTGGGGGTTACTGGGAGCTCTGGGGGTTACTGGGGGGCACTGGGAGCCACTGGGAGCACAGGGGGTTACTGGGGGGCACTGGGAGCACTGGGGGTTACTGGGAGCTCTGGGGGTTACTGGGGGGCACTGGGAGCCACTGGGAGCACAGGGGGTTACTGGGGGGCACTGGGAGCACTGGGGGTTACTGGGAGCTCTGGGGGTTACTGGGGGGCACTGGGAGACACTGCGGTTACTGGGGGGCACTGGGGGTTACTGGGAGATGCTGGGAGACACTGGGAGCACTGGGGGTTACTGGGAACACTGGGAGCACTGGGGGTTACTGGGAGTTACTGGGATCGCTGGAGTTTGCTGGGGTTACTTGGGAGGTACTGGGATTTACTGGGATCACTGGGGGTTACTGGGAGCACTGGTGGTCACTGGTGTTTTTGGGATTTACTGGGAATGCTGGGGGTTAGTGGGAGCACTGGGGAGGGAGGCACAGGGGATTACTGGGGGTTACTGGGAGCTCAGGGTGCACTGGGGAGGCACTGGATGGCACTGTCCCCTCCGTGGGGACACTGTGACCCTGCTGTGGCACTGTCCCCTCCGTGGGGACACCATTGTCCCCTCTCTGGGGGGCTCTGGTGGCTCCAGGACTTCCCTGAAGTGGCCTCAGTGGCTGTGGTGGCCCTGGGGCTCCTTTGGGGGTGCCCAGCCCCCACTCTGCTGACGAGCCAGCCTTTGGTGACAGTGGAGGTGACAAGGAGGTGACAAGGAGGGCGTGGGGTGACTCTGTCCCCTCTCTGTCCCCCAGTGTTCGAGTGCCCCGTGTGCCACCAGCAGTGTCCCCTGGGTGACATCATGGAGAACCTCTTCCTGCAGGCCAGCACGGCCGCCACAGCCACCAGCGGGCAGGTACCGCCTCGTCAGCGCTAATTACCGCTAATTAGCACTGACTGGGGCTGAGGGACGTCCCAACCCAGCGTGTCCCTTGTCCCCAGAGCTGCACCAGCTGCGAGGACAACGCGGCGGCCACCAGCTTCTGCCTGGAGTGCGCCGAGCCGCTGTGTGACACCTGCGTGGAGGCACACCTGAGGGTCAGGGACACCCGGGAGCACAGCGTGCAGCCCCTCGGTGAGTGCTGGCACTGTCCCCTCTGTCACCCCCTGTCCCTGTCCCCGTGGCTGTGTGACACCTGCGTGGAGGCACACCTGAGGGTCAGGTACACCCGGGAGCACAGCGTGCAGCCCCTGGGTGAGTGCTGGCACTGTCACCTCTGTCACCTCCTGTCACCCCTCTGTCACCTGTGTCACCCCTGTCACCCCCTGTCCGTGCCTGTTACCAGGTGCTGACCCTGTCAGCAGATCCGTCCTGGTGCCATCCCTGGTGCCCCCCCATTCCCAGTTTCCCATTCCCCCATTCCCATTTCCCCATCCCCGTGTTCCAGTTCCCATTTCCATTTTCCCACTTACCCATATTACCATTGCCCTTACCATTCCCATGTTCCCATTCCCCCATTCCCAGTTTCCCAGTTCCCCCATTCCCATTCCCCCCATTCCCCCATTCCCATTCCCCCATCCCCATTCCCAGTTCCCCGTTCCCTCTCTCCTCAGGCTCTCCCGCCGTGCCCGGTGCCGGGTCGGGTTCGGGGCCGTGCCCGGGGCCGTGCCCGGCGCACCCTCGGCAGCCGCTGTCGCTGTTCTGCGGCGCCTGTGACGCCCTCACGTGCCGCGAGTGTCACCTGGGCCCGCACCGCCAGCACCCGTGAGTGCCCCCTGCGCTCATCAGCGCTAATTAGCGCGGGGCCCGCGTCATTAGTGCTAATTAGCGCCAGGGCAGTCGGCCACCCGGGCAGGATAGCTGAACGGGTTTAGTGCCAGGGCAGCTGCGCAGCAGGGCCGCCCGTGGAGGTGGCTGTAGTTAATTAATGGGCTGATTAATTACCGGGAAACACCTAGAGTCGGCTTGCCGGTTAATTACTCTTGTTGATTAACTGCTGGTTTTATTAATGGTTTTATGACTGAGTTTATTACGCAGTTTATTACTGGCTTTGTTATTGAGTTTATTACTGATTTTTACTGATTTTATTACTGATATTATTGTTGACTTAATTAGTGATTTAATCACTGATTTCGTTACTGATTTTACTACTAATTCTATTACTGATTTAATTACTGATTTAATTACTGATTCTATTATTGACTTTATTACTGAGTTTTTATGTGGGTTTATCACTGACTCAATTGCTGATCCAATTGCTGTTTTTATTACTGATTTTATTACTGATTCAATTACTGATTTAATTACTGACCCAATTACTGATTTAATTACCGATCCTATCACTGATTTAATGACTGAGTTTATTATTTATTTTATCACTGGTTTTATTAAAGCTCGTTAGTTGGGAGGTGCTGAAGGGTTGGGAAAGGTGGGAATTAATTAGCAGAGGGGGAGTAGCTTGAACTAGAAAGAGCTAATTGCTAATCAATTAATAATTTAATTGGTTGTTTAAATTAATAGGTTGTTTAAATTAATTTCTTTTTTAATCAATCTTAGTCGAGTTTTTTTATGGTTTTGCTGTTTTTTATTGATTGAAATTCAGGGAAATCAATAACTGCTTTGATTGGTTAGCTGACCACATATTTACCTAGCTTGATTGCCTTATTAATTAGTTCATTTACTTGGTCATTAACGGCATTAGAAGCACTTTTGTTGGGTAAGATCTAATTGAATTAATGTAATTAGGGATTGAATGACAGAATCTGTTACCTGGGGCATCTCGTTAACTAAAAACCCTTAATCCACTGAGTTAATTAGATAATTGAAGCCCAATGAGGATTAATTAGCTTATTAATGAGTAGTGAGCTAATAAGCTTAATTTTTCTTTTCTCTCCCCTTTTCTCTCTCTTTTCTCTCTCTTTTTCCTCCCTTTTCCTTTTCCCCTTTTCCCTTCCCATTTTTCCTTACTCCTCCTTTGCCCCCTTTTCCCTTTCCCCCTTTTTCCTTTCCTCTCTTTTCCCTTTTTTATTTTCTCCCTCTTTTTCTCCCTTTTTTCTCCTCCCTTTCTGTCCCTTTCCCCTCTTCCCTCCCCCTCTTTTCCTACTCTTTTCCCACCTTTTCCCCCTCTCCCCCATTTTTCCTTTTCCCTTCCCTTTTTCCTCACTTTCTCCTCCATTTTCTCCCTGTTCCTCCCCGTTTCCCCCAATTTCTCCCTGTGTTTCTCCCCATTTTCTGGCATTTCCCCCCGTGTTTCCCCCATGATTCCCCCATGTTTTTCCCCATTTCCCCCCCAATTTTCCCCATTTCCCCCATTTCAATCCATGTTTTCCCCGCGCAGCATCCGCCGCGGGACGGACGCGCAGAAGCGCCTGCAGGTGGAGGTGAAGCTCGCCATCCTGCAGATCATGAAGGAGCTCAACAAACGCGCCAAGGCGCTGGTGGGCGACGTCCAGGTGAGCCCGCCGCCGCCCTGGCCCCGTCCCCGCGTCCCCGGCGGCGCGGTGACGCGGCCGTCCCCTCCGTGTGTCCCCGCAGCGCGTCACCGAGGGCCGGCAGGAGCGGCTGGAGCGGCAGCGGCGCGCGCTGAGCCGGGCGCAGCGGCTGCAGGAGCACGCGCTGCGCTTCGGGGCCCGCGCGCTGCACGGCCCCCACGGCGCCGCCCTGCTGCTCTCCAGGAGGCTGGTGAGGGACCCCTGGGACCCCCGGGCTGGGGGTGGCACTTGGGCCCCTGGAGCTCCCAGAGCCGCAGGGGGAGCTCCGCTTCCAGTGGGACCTGCAGGGATGGACCAGGAGTGCCCAGAGCTTCGGTGAGGGGACACTGGGGACACTGGGGATATCTGGGGACACCGGGGACACCTGGGGACACCGGGGACAGCCAGGGGACACCAGGGACAGCCAGGGGACAACGGGGGACAGGGACACAAGGGACAAGGGCATGACAAAGGACAGGAGGGGTGAGGGTGGCGGTGACAAGGGACAGGGGGACCCAGGGAGGGGATGACAGGGGACAGGGGGTGACAAGGGACAGGGGGACCCAGGGAGGGGGTGACAAGGGACAGGGGGTGTCATGGAGAGTGTGACAAGGGACAGGGAGTGTCATGGAAGGGGTGACAAGGGAGAGGGGGTGACAGGGGACAGGATGTCCCTGTTTGGGGGGTGGCAAGGAGGGGGTGGCAAGTGACACCCCCCCGTGATGTCCCCACCCCCCGTGATGTCCACTCCCCTCCCCGATGTCCTCGCAGGGACCTGAGGGACATTCTGGGGGTGCCACCCCCGGAGCCCCCCGTGATGTCCCCTCCCCCTGATGTCCTGCAGGGCCACCCCCAGGCCACGGTGGTCACTGGGGGACAGGTGACACCGGAGCTGCTCCTGCAGGGTCCCCCCCAGCTGTCACCTCCCCCGCAGCTGTCACCTCCCCTCCGGCTGTCACCTCCCCCCCTGGAGCCAGCGGCAGCCCCGAGCCCCGAGCTGGGTGAGGGGACATGGGGACATGGGAGGGGACAGGGGATGGGGACATGGGAGGGGACACAGGAGGGGACATGGGGATGGGGACACGGGAGGGGACAGGGGGACATGGGAGGGGACACGGGAGGGGAACAGATGAGGGGACATGGGGACACAGGGAAGGAGACAGGGGAGGGGGACAAGGGATGGGGACAGGGGAGTGGGATACGGGACAGGGGAGGGGACATGGAGACACAGGGAGGGGGACAGGGGAGGGGACCCGCAGGAAGTCCCTTATGTGGCATTTGTCACCAGCCACCAGCCCTGAAAACGGCGTCACTGGAGAGAGGATGTGAGTGTCCCTGTCCCTTGTCACCCCCTGCCACCCCTGGGACTCCCTGTCCTTTGTCACCCCCACCGTGGTCGCTCCTGTCCCTTGTCACCCCCTCTGCTTCCTGCTGTCCCTTGTCACCCTCATGCTGTCCCTTGTCCCAGGGGTGACATGTGTCCCCTGTCCCCTGTCCCTTGTCCCAGGGGTGACATGTGTCCCCTGTCCCTTGTCCCAGGGGTGACATGTGTCCCCTGTCCCTTTCCCAGGGGTGACATGTGTCCCTTGTCCCAGGGGTGACATGTGTTCCCTGTCCCCTGCACCTTGTCCCAGGGGTGACATGTGTCCCCTGTCCCGTTGTGCAGGAGGAACCCCAGCAGTTCCCCCCAGGAGGAGAAGCTCGTTAAGAAGCTGCTCATTAAGCGGTAATTAGAGCGTGGGGGAGGGGAGGAGGGACCTGTCACCTGCAGCCCCTCCCATCCTGTCCCTTGGCCAGGACGTCCCTGTCCCCTATCCTGGGGTCTCCCCGTGCCAGGACCCCCGTCCCTGTCCCCAACACCCCTGCGCCTTGTCACTGTCCCTGTCCCCAACCCTCCCCAGCCTTGTCACTGTCCCTGTCCCCTGTCCCGAACTGTCCCCAGCCTTGTCACTGTCCCAGTCCCCTGTCCCGACCCCTTGTCACTCTCCCTGTCCCCACCCCTCCCCAGCCTTGTCACTGTCCCTGTCCCCTGTCCCGAACTGTTCCCAGCCTTGTCACTGTCCCTTGTCTCCCTGTCCCCAGCCCTTGTCACTGTCCCTGTCCCCAACCCTCCCCAGCCTTGTCACTGTCCCTGTCCCCAGCCTTGTCACTGTCCCAGTCCCCTGTCCCCAGCCCTTGTCCCTGTCCCCAACCCTCCCCAGCCTTGCCACTGTCCCTGTCCCCTGTCTCGAACTGTCCCCAGCCTTGTCACTGTCCCAGTCCCCTGTCCCCAGCCCTTGTCCCTGTCCCCAACCCTCCCCAGCCTTGTCACTGTCCCTGTCCCCAACCCTCCCCAGCCTTGTCACTGTCCCTGTCCCCTGTCCCGAACTGTCCCCAGCCTTGTCACTGTCCCTGTCCCCTGTCCCGAACTGTTCCCAGTCTTGTCACTGTCCCTTGTCTCCCTGTCCCCAACCCTTGTCCCTGTCCCTGTCCCCAACCCTCCCCAGCCTTGCCACTGTCCCTGTCCCCCGTCTCGAACTGGCCCCAGCCTTGTCACTGTCCCAGTCCCCTGTCCCCAGCCCTTGTCCCTGTCCCCAACCCTCCCCAGCCTTGTCACTGTCCCTGTCCCCTGTCTCGAACTGTCCCCAGCCTTGTCACTGTCCCAGTCCCCTGTCCCCAGCCCTTGTCCCTGTCCCCAACCCTCCCCAGCCTTGTCACTGTCCCATGTCCCCCTGTCCCAGAGTTCCCAGGAACCCCCAGCCCCCTGATCTCCTGGAATCTCCCCCGCTGAAGTTTGGGGTCCCCGGGTGATCCTGCTGTCCCCCAGGAGGGTCCCCTGGGGTTTGGGTCCCTGGGTAACCCCGCTGTCCCCCAGGAGGGTCCCCTGATGTTTGGGGTCCCTGGGTGACCCCGCTGTCCCCCAGGAGGGGCCCCTGAGGTTTGGGGTCCCCGGGTGACCCTGCTGTCCCCCAGGAGGGTCCCCTCAGAGGTTTGGGGTCCCCGTGTGACTCCGCTGTCCCCCTGAGGTTTGGGGTCCCCGTGTGACCCCGCTGTCCCCCAGGAGGGTCCCCTGAGAGGTTTGGGGTCCCCGGGTGACCCCGCTGTCCCCCAGGAGGGGCCCCTGAGAGGTTTGGGGTCCCCGGGTGACCCCGCTGTCCCCCAGGAGGGGCCCCCCCGAGGCCCAGGACAGCCCCCGGCTCCCCAAGCAGCCGCGGGTGAGCCTGGAGCGCCTGGAGCTGGACCTGGAGCTGGACCCGGCGCAGCCACCCGTGTTCCGCATCTTCCCGGGACCCTCGGCCCAGGAGTTCAGCCTCATCGTCATCGAGCAGGGCTCAGCGGGGACAGAGGGGACAGCAGGGACAGAGGGGACAGCGGGGACAGAAGGGACACCGGGGACAGAAGGGACAGCGGGGACACCAGGGACAGAAGGGACAGCGGGGACAGCGCAGCCACACGGAGCCCTCCTTGTCAAGGTGAGTCACCCCCGTGTCTCCTCCATTGTCCCCAGGCTCTGTCCCCACCCAGGTGAGTGTCCCCTGTCCCACTCCCCATCCCCTGTGTCCCTTCCCCATCCAGGTGAGTGCCCCCAGTGTCCCTCCCCACCCTGTGTGTCCCCTTCCCCATCCAGGTGAGTCCCCCATGTTCTCCCTTGTCAAGGTGTCCCCTTTCCCCCTACAGTGTTCCCTGTCCCCCTCCCCACCCTGTGTGTCCCTTCCCCACCCTCTCCAGTGTCCCCTGTCCCTGACCATGTCCCCTGTCCCTCTGTCCCCTGTCCCCTGTCCCTGACCATGTCCCCTGTCCCTGTGACCCCTGTCCCTGTCCCCTGTCCCTGACCGTGTCCCCCTGTGCAGGAGGAGCAGCAGGAGTCGCCCATTGGGGACACCGGGGACAGCGGGGACACCAAACCCGTAGGGCTGCTGCCCCCTGCCCTGGGGGAGCCGGGCCCTGCCCCGGGCTCCTCCCCTGGCCTGGGGCTCCCGGTGGTCCCGGTGGTCCCGGGGGGGCTCCCGGGGGTCTCGTGCTGCCGCGTGTGCGGCCAGGCCGGGGCCGTGGTGATGTGTGACCGCTGCCAGCGCTGCTTCCACCTGCACTGCCACCTGCCCGCGCTGCACGACGTGCCCAGGTATGGGATCTGCTGCTGGGATCTGCTGCTGGGATCCATCACAGGGATCTGCTGCCCCTCAGCGCCTCCCTGGGCCTGGGATCCACTGCCCCGTGTCACCCCCTGATCCCCCAATGTCCCCAGGATCCACTGCCCTGTGTCACCCCTGAATGTCCTTGGGATCCACTGCCCCGTGCCAGCCCCTGAATCCCCCAATGTCCCCAGGATCCACTGCCCCATGTCACCTCCTAATGTCCCTGGGATCCACTGCCCCATGTCACCTCCCAATGTCCCTGGGATCCACTGCCCCGTGCCAGCCCCTGGGAGCTGGGATCCACTGCCCCGTGTCACCCCTGAATGTCCCTGGGATCCACTGCCCCATGTCACCCCCTGGGACGTGCCTGGATCCCCTGCTCCAATGTCAGCCCCCTGTGGATCAGCTGGGAGCTCTTGGATCCTGGGTCTCCTGTCCCTGATCCCTCTGGGAATCCCCCACTGACCCCAAACCTCATGTGGGTCCTGAGGTGCCGATCCCATGGGTTCCCATTCCCAATCCCATTCCTGATCCCTCAATGCCCTGGGATCCCATTCCAAATCCCTCGATCCCAAACCCCTGGGACTCTCCAGGTGCCAATCCCATGTGATCCCCATCCCAGATCCCCAGTGGTCTCCAGGCACCAATCCCATGGGATCCCATTCCCAATCCCATTCCTGACCCCTTGATCACAGATCCATGGGGATCCCCAGCTGCCGATCCCATGGGATCCCATTCCCAGTTCCAGACCCGCAGTGGCCCCCAGGTGCTGATCCCATGGGATTCCAATCCCAGACCCCTGGGGGTCTCTGGGCACTGATTCCAGAATCCCAATCCCAGATCTCCGAGGGTCTCCGGGCGCTGATCCCATGGGATCCTGTTCCTGATCCCTTGATCCCAGACCCCTGGGGATCCCTGTTCCTGATCCCCCGTGACCCCATTCCCAATGCCTTGATCCCAGCCCTGTGGAGATCCCTGGGCACCGATCCCACGTGACCCCGTTCCCTCAATCCCAGCCCCAAAGGGATCCCTGGGCGCTGATCCTCTGTGACCCCGTTCCCAATCCCAGCCCTGTGGGGATCCTCATTCCCAGCCCCCTGTGACGCCGTTCCTGATCCCAGCCCCGTGGGGATCCCTGTTCCTGATCCCTCATGACCCTGTTCCCAATCCCATGGGGATTCCCATTCCCGATCCCTCAATCCCAGCCCCATGGGGATCCCCGTTCCTGATCCCCTTGACCCTCTTCCCAATCCAGCCCCATGGAGATCCCTGTTCCCGATCCCCTGTGACCCTGTTCCTGATCCCAGCCCCGCGGGGGATCCCTGTTCCCGATCCCCCGTGACCCTGTTCCTGATCCCAGCCCCATGGGGATCCCCATTCCCGATCCCAGCCCCGTGGGGATCCCCGATCCGTCAATCCCAGCCCCCCGTGACCCCGTCCCGCTCCCGCAGCCCCGAGTGGACGTGTTTGCTGTGCCAGGAGCTGCCCCCGCCCCTCCTGGAGCCGGAGCAGGGCCCCTCCCTCAAGCTGAGCCCCCAGGACCAGCAGGTGAGGCCGGGCTGATCCCGATGGTTGATCCCATGGGATCTCCTCCCTCGGGATCTCAGCACCGACCCCGACCCCGCAGCGCTGCGAGTTCGTCCTGCTGGAGCTGCTGTGCCACGAGCCCTGCCGGCCCCTGCAGCGCCTCTGCAGCTCCCCGGTGAGCGGGGATCGCGGGGGGATCTGGGGGGATCAGTGGGGAGCTGGGACCCATCGGGGGGATCTGGGCTGGAATCGGGGGGATCTGGGACCTGGGGGGGATCAGGGTTGGGATCAGGAACAGGGTCAGCAGGGGGAGCGGAGCAGGGATCTGGGGGGATCAGCTCCATGGTGAGCAGGTGGGATCAGGGTGGGTGATCAGCTCCCTGGTCTGCAGCAGGAGCAGATCAGGGGATCTGGGGGATGGGATCTGGGGGCGATCAGCTCCTGGGTGAGCGGGTGGGATCTGGGGGGGATCAGGGGTAGGATCAGCTCCACAGTGAGTGGTGAGCAGGTGGGAGTGGGAGGGATCTGGGATCGGGATCAGGGGGTGGGATCAGGATCAGGGATGGATCATGGGTGGGATCAAGATAAGGGGCGGGATCAGGGAATTTGGGATGGGATCTGGGGAGGGATCAGGGTGGGATTGGGTGGGGTTAGGGGGTGGGCTCTGCCCTGTTTGGGATCAGCCCTGTTTGGGATCAGGGGTGGGATCAGGGGTGGGATCAGCCCCGTTTGGGATCAGGGGTGGGATCAGCCCTGTTTGGGATCAGGGGTGGGATCAGCCCTGTTTGGGATCAGGGGTGGGATCAGGGCTGGGATCAGCCCCGTTTGGGATCAGGGCTGGGATCAGCCCCGTTTGGATCAGGGCTGGGCTCTGGCCCGCCGGGGCCGCTGACCCCGCTGCCCGCCCCTCAGGACGGCCGCGACGCCATGGACCTGACGCTGATGCGGGCGCGGCTGCAGGAGAAGCTGAGCCCCCACTACCGCAGCCCCGAGGAGTTCGCCCGCGACGGCTGGCGCCTGCTGCGGCAGTTCCACCGCCTCACCGAGGTCTGGCAGCCCCCGGGGGGGCTCTTTTTGGGGTTTTTGGCCGGGCCAGCCCCTCTGGAGTTGACATTTCCCCCCAGGACAAGGCAGATGTCCAGTCCATCCTGGAGCTGCAGCGTTTCCTCGAGAGCCGCCTCAGCGCTGTCTTCGGCGACCAGAAGTTCTCCAGGCTCCTGCTGGATCCCGAGGAAGCCCTGGAGGTGTCTCCAGGCTCCTGACTGCCCCTCCTGGGGGGTGAAAGACCTCCCAGCACCCCGATTTCCCCTCCCAGCACCCCGATTTCCCCTCCTAGGACCCCGATTTGCTCCCACCATAGGTTCTGTTTCCCCCCCCATAAGTTGGGGTTCCCCCCAGAGCCCCCCAGGATGTGGGGGCGTCTCTGTCCCTCATTAGCCTGGGGTCACGTGGGAAAAAATAAAACCCTGGTCTCCTGGGTTCTGCCTCATTTCTGGGCTGGATCTGACCTGGATTTCCTGGATTCTGCCCCATTTTTGTGCTTGGATTTCCTGGATTCTCCCCCATTTCAGAGCTTGGATTTCCTGGATTCTCCCCAGTTTCAGGGCTTGATTTGACCTGGATTTCCTGGATTCTGTCCCATTTCTGTGCTTGGATTTCCTGGAATTTCCCTAATTTCAGTGCCTGCATTCCCTGGGTTCTCCCCCATTTCAGAGCTTGGATTTCCTGGATTCTCCCCAATTGCAGTGCTTGGATTTCCTGGAATTTCCCTGATTTCAGTGCTTGGATTTCCTGGGTTCTCCCCCATTTCCAGGCTGGATCCACCCCGTGCCCCCCATTTTCCCTCCTGCTGCCCCTCCACGTCCATCCCTGCCTCCCTGAGCTGAACTGGAAGCTGCTGGGGTGCAACTGGGGCTGGCAGCGCTGAGAGGGAAGGGACTGGGAGGGGAAACTGGTCCCAGTTCACCCCCTGGGCCAGTAAAGATGGCGGCGCCCATGAGCAACATGGCAGCGCCCATTGGGAGATGGGGCCTCGAGCCCCGTCCCCGGTGCAGGATTGGCTGGTGGGAGCCGGGGAGAGCCGAAGTGTTCCGGAAAGAGCCGAGCGTGAAGCGCGGGAGACACAAATGAAGCGGCTGCCGGAAAGACCCGAAGTGGCGGCGATCGGCACTTTTCGGACCGCCTCGCCCCGCCTCTCGTTCCGGAAGAACCCGAAGTGTTCCGGAAAGAGCCGAGTGCGAAGCGCGGGAGAGACAAACGAAGCGGCTGCCGGAAAGAGCCGAGGGGCGGAGATCGGCCCTTTTCGGAGCGCCTCGCCCCGCCTCTCGTTCCGGAAGAACCCGAAGTGTTCCGGAAAGAGCCGAGCGTGAAGCGCGGGAGAGACAAATGAAGCGGCTGCCGGAAAGACCCGAAGGGGCGGCGATCGGCACTTTTCGGAGCGCCTCGCCCCGCCTCTCGTTCCGGAAGAACCCGAAGTGTTCCGGAAAGAGCCGAGCGTGAAGCGCGGGAGAGACAAACGAAGCGGCTGCCGGAAAGAGCCGAGGGGCGGAGATCGGCGCTTTTCGGAGCGCCTCGCCCCGCCTCTCGTTCCGGAAGAACCCGAAGTGTTCCGGAAAGAGCCGAGCGTGAAGCGCGGGAGAGACAAACGAAGCGGCTGCCGGAAAGAGCCGAGGGGCGGAGATCGGCGCTTTTCGGAGCGCCTCGCCCCGCCTCTCGTTCCGGAAGAACCCGAAGTGTTCCGGAAAGAGCTGAAGCGGGCTCGAAGCGCCGGAACGAGTCGATCATCTTCCGGAGGAAACCGAAGCGCCCTCGGGCCCGCCTGAAAGTCCTGAGGGGCTCCGAACCGCCCCTTCCGGAGACCCCCCCGAGCCCTTCCCCCATCTTTTCCGGAACCCCCCCCGAGCCCCTCCCCCTCTCCCTTCCGGAGATCCCCGAAGCGATTCCGGAGTTTCCGGAAGCGGCTCCCGAGCGGTGCCGGCGGACCTCCCGGAACGGTTCCGAAGCAGGTCCGGAAGTTGCCAGGCGACTCCCGAGTTTGCCGAGAGATTCCGAAGCCGTGCGGAGGTTCTCGAAACGATTCCAGAGACCCACGAAGCGACCCCGGAGATTGCCCAGAGGTTCCGAACCGGTTTCGGAGAGTCCCGAACCTCCTCCCCCTTTTCGGAGATCTCCGGAAGGTTTCGAGAGGCTCCGGACATCCCTGAGACCGTTCCGCAAAGCCCCGAAACGGTTCCGAAGCGGTTCCGGAGATCCTCGAGGCGGTTCCGGAAGTCGCCAAGCGACTCCGGAGGTTCCCGAAGCGCTTCCGGAAACTCCCGAAGTTGTACCGAAGGAATTCCGGAGCTTCACGAACCCTCTCCGGAGCTTCACGAAGCGATCCCGGAAGTTGCCGAGCGGTCGTGAAGCGGTTCCGGAGAGTTCCGAGCGGCTCCGGAAGTTTCCGAGCGGCTCCGGAAGTTGCCGAGCCGGCCGGCCCTCAGCGCTCGCCCCCGGCCCCCGTCGCCCCCGGACCCCCCGAACCGGAGCCGCCCCCGGCCCGGCCCCGCTCCCTCGGCCCCGGGGGGGGCCCGGACCCGCCCCGGCCCCGCCGCCCCGGCCCGGCAGGATGATCAAGCTGTTCTCGCTGAAGCAGCAGAAGAAGGAGGAGGAATCGGCGGGCGGCACCAAGAGCTCCAGCAAAAAGGCCTCGGCCGCGCAGCTCCGCATCCAGAAAGGTCTGGGGGGAGGCGGCGGGCACGCACCGGGCCCGGTAAAGGCCGCGAACTGGGGCCAGTAAGGGTCTCAAACTGGGGCCAGCAGGGCTGCAAACTGGGGCCAGTAAGGGCCCCAAACTGGGGCCAATAAGGGCTTCATACTGGGGCCAGTAAGGGCCTCATACTGGGGCCAGTAAGGGCCTCATACTGGGGCCGGTAACGGCCACAGATTGGGGCCAGGAAGGGCCTCATACTGAGCCAGTAACGGTTGCCATCTGGGCCCAGTAAGGGCATTGAATTGGGGCCAGTAAGGGTCTCGAACTGGGCCCAGTAAGGGCTGCACACTGGGCCCAGCAGGGCCCCAGGCTGGGCCCAATAATGGCCACAAACTGGGGCCAGTAAGGGTCCCAAACTAGGGCCGGTAACAGTCACAAACTGTTAAAAGCTGGGCCCAGTAAGGGCCGGAAACTGGGCCCAGTAACAGCTCCATGCTTGGCCCAGTAAGGGCTGCAGGCTGGGCCCGGCAGGGCCGGCAGTTCCGGGTCGTTAACGGCCCTGGGGGGGCCGGTACTGGGACCAGTAAGGGACACGTACTGGGAGCAGTAAGGGACACGTACTGGGAGCAGTAAGGGGCACGTACTGGGACCAGTAAGGGACACGTACTGGGAGCAGTAAGGGGCACGTACTGGGACCAGTAAGGGGCACGTACTGGGACCAGTAAGGGGCACGTACTGGGACCAGTAAGGGGCACGTACTGGGACCAGTAAGGGGCACGTACTGGGACCAGTAAGGGGCACGTACTGGGACCAGTAAGGGGCACGTACTGGGACCAGTAAGGGGCACGTACTGGGACCAGTAAGGGGCACGTACTGGGACCAGTAAGGGACACGTACTGGGAGCAGTAAGGGGCACGTACTGGGACCAGTAAGGGACACGTACTGGGAGCAGTAAGGGGCACGTACTGGGACCAGTAAGGGACACGTACTGGGAGCAGTAAGGGACACGTACTGGGAGCAGTAAGGGGCACGTACTGGGACCAGTAAGGGACACGTACTGGGAGCAGTAAGGGGCACAGACTGGGACCAGTAAGGGGCACGTACTGGGACCAGTAAGGGGCACGTACTGGGACCAGTAAGGGGCACGTACTGGGACCAGTAAGGGGCACGTACTGGGACCAGTAAGGGACACGTACTGGGAGCAGTAAGGGGCACAGACTGGGACCAGTAAGGGGCACGTACTGGGACCAGTAAGGGGCACGTACTGGGACCAGTAAGGGGCACGTACTGGGACCAGTAAGGGGCACAGTAAGGGGCCAGTACTGGGAGCAGTAAGGGGCACGTACTGGGACCAGTAAGGGGCACGTACTGGGACCAGTAAAGGCCCGGTACCCGTTCCTGCAGCACCACACTGGGGGTGGCACTGGGACCAGTAAGGGGCCAGTACTGGTTCCAGCAGCGCTGCACTGAGGGCTGGTACTGGGACCGGTAAGGGGCATGTACTGGGAGCAGTAAGGATCACATACTGGGACCAGTAGGGGACACATACTGGGACCAGTAGGGGACACATACTGGTCCAAGTTAGGCTCCAGTGGGAGGCAGGTACTGGTTTCAGTAATGGTCAGATACTGGTCCCAGTAGGGGTCAAGGGCTGGTCCCACTTAGGCCGTGGTGAGGGGCAAGTACTGGTTCCAGTAAGGGTCACATACTGGTCCCAGTAAGGGTCACATACTGGTCCCAGACTGGTCCCAGCAGGGGTCACATACTGGTCCCAGTCAGACCTTGGGAAGGGACAGGTACTGGTCCCAGCAGGGGTCACATACTGGTCCCAGTAGGGCTTCACTGGGGATCAGATACTGGTCCCAGTAAGGGGCAGGTACTGGTCCCAGTGGGGGGCACATACTGGTCCCAGTTAGGCCCCAGTGGGTCCCAGTAAGAGTGATATACTGGTCCCAGTAAGAGTCACATACTGGTCCCAGTAGTGCCTCAGCAAGTGTCACATACTCGTTCCAGTAGGAGACAGGTACTGGGCCCAGTATGGTCCCAGTATGGTCCCAGTGATTCCCAGTATGGCCCAGTATGGCCCCAGTTGGGCCTACCTGGGCTGGGGATGGGCCAGGCAGGGGTTGGGGTTGTGGGGTTGTCATGGCCGTGTCACCTGTGTGTCACCTGTGTGTCCCTGTTTGTCACCCCTGTCCCCGTGTGTCCCCGTGTCACTGCTGCCACACCCGTGTCACCTGTGTCACGTGTGTCACTACTGTCCCACCCCTGTCCCCGTGTGTCCCCACGTCCCTGTGTGTCCCACCTGTGTCACCTTGTGTGTCACCTGTGTCACTGCTGTCCCACCCCTGTCCCCGTGTGTCCCCATGTCCCTGTGTGTCCCACCTGTGTCACCTTGTGTGTCACCTGTGTCACTGCTGTCCCACCCCTGTCCCCGTGTGTCCCCATGTCCCTGTGTGTCCCACCTGTGTCACCTTGTGTGTCACCTGTGTCACTGCTGTCCCACCCCTGTCCCCGTGTGTCCCCATGTCCCTGTGTGTCCCACCTGTGTCACCTTGTGTGTCACCTGTGTCACTGCTGTTTAGGCCTTGGGAAGGGGCAGGTACTGGTCCCAGCAGGGGTCACATACTGGTCCCAGTCAGACCTTGGGAAGGGACAGGTACTGGTCCCAGCAGGGGTCACATACTGGTCCCAGTAGGGCTTCACTGGGGATCAGATACTGGTCCCAGTAAGGGGCAGGTACTGGTCCCAGTGGGGGGCACATACTGGTCCCAGTTAGGCCCCAGTGGGTCCCAGTAAGAGTGATATACTGGTCCCAGTAAGAGTCACATACTGGTCCCAGTAGTGCCTCAGCAAGTGTCACATACTCGTTCCAGTAGGAGACAGGTACTGGGCCCAGTATGGTCCCAGTGTGGCCCAGTATGGCCCAGTATGGTCCCAGTATGGCCCCAGTTGGGCCTACCTGGGCTGGGGATGGGCCAGGCAGGGGTTGGGGTTGTGGGGTTGTCATGGCCGTGTCACCTGTGTGTCACCTGTGTGTCACTGTTTGTCACCCCTGTCCCCGTGTGTCCCCGTGTCACTGCTGCCACACCCGTGTCACCTGTGTCACGTGTGTCACTACTGTCCCACCCCTGTCCCCGTGTGTCCCCACGTCCCTGTGTGTCCCACCTGTGTCACCTTGTGTGTCACCTGTGTCACTGCTGTCCCACCCCTGTCCCCGTGTGTCCCCACTTGTCCCCAGCTCTCCCCATGTGTCCCCAGCTGTCCCTGTGTCCCCATTTGTCCCTGTTTATCCCCAACTGTCCCCTGTGTCCCTGTGTGTCCCCATTTGTCCCCGTGTGTCCCCATTTGTCCCTGTGTCTCCCTGTTTGTCCCCATTTGTCCCCAGGTCCCCAATGTCCCCATGTGTCCCCTGCTGTCCCCTGCTGTCCCCACTGTCCCTGTGTGTCTGTGCATGTCACCTGTGTCACCCTGTGTGTCCCCAGTGTCCCCACTGTCCCCTCACTGTTCCTGTGTGCCCCCATCCCCTCACTGTCCCCACTGTCCCTGTGTGTCCCTGTGTCCCTGACTGTCCCCACTGTCCCCTCAGTGTCCCTGTGTCCCTTCACTGTCCCCTGTGTGCCCTCAGTGTCCCCTCAGTGTTCATGACTGTCCCTGTGTCCCCTGTGTCCCCTCACTGTCCCTGTGTCCCATCAGTGTCCCTGTGTCCCCTTTGTGTCCCCTCACTGTCCCTGTGTCCCCTCAGTGTCCCTGTGTCCCCTTTGTGTCCCCTCACTGTCCCTGTGTCCCCTCAGTGTCCCTGTGTCCCCTTTGTGTCCCCTCACTGTCCCTGTGTCCCCTCAGTGTCCCTGTGTCCCCTTTGTGTCCCCTCACTGTCCCTGTGTCCCCTCAGTGTCCCTGTGTCCCCTTTGTGTCCCCTCACTGTCCCTGTGTCCCCTCAGTGTCCCTGTGTCCCCTTTGTGTCCCCTCACTGTCCCTGTGTCCCCTCAGTGTCCCTGTGTCCCCTTTGTGTCCCCTCACTGTCCCTGTGTCCCCTCAGTGTCCCTGTGTCCCCTTTGTGTCCCCTCACTGTCCCTGTGTCCCCTCAGTGTCCCTGTGTCCCCTTTGTGTCCCCTCACTGTCCCTGTGTCCCCTCAGTGTCCCTGTGTCCCCTTTGTGTCCCCTCACTGTCCCTGTGTCCCCTCAGTGTCCCTGTGTCCCCTTTGTGTCCCCTCACTGTCCCTGTGTCCCCTCAGTGTCCCTGTGTCCCCTTTGTGTCCCCTCACTGTCCCTGTGTCCCCTCAGTGTCCCTGTGTCCCCTTTGTGTCCCCTCACTGTCCCTGTGTCCCCTCAGTGTCCCTGTGTCCCCTTTGTGTCCCCTCACTGTCCCTGTGTCCCCTCAGTGTCCCTGTGTCCCCTTTGTGTCCCCTCACTGTCCCTGTGTCCCCTCAGTGTCCCTGTGTCCCCTTTGTGTCCCCTCACTGTCCCTGTGTCCCCTCAGTGTCCCTGTGTCCCCTTTGTGTCCCCTCACTGTCCCTGTGTCCCCTCAGTGTCCCTGTGTCCCCTTTGTGTCCCCTCACTGTCCCTGTGTCCCCTCAGTGTCCCTGTGTCCCCTTTGTGTCCCCTCACTGTCCCTGTGTCCCCTCAGTGTCCCTGTGTCCCCTTTGTGTCCCCTCACTGTCCCTGTGTCCCCTCAGTGTCCCTGTGTCCCCTTTGTGTCCCCTCACTGTCCCTGTGTCCCCTCAGTGTCCCTGTGTCCCCTTTGTGTCCCCTCACTGTCCCTGTGTCCCCTCAGTGTCCCTGTGTCCCCTTTGTGTCCCCTCACTGTCCCTGTGTCCCCTCAGTGTCCCTGTGTCCCCTTTGTGTCCCCTCACTGTCCCTGTGTCCCCTCAGTGTCCCTGTGTCCCCTTTGTGTCCCCTCACTGTCCCTGTGTCCCCTCAGTGTCCCTGTGTCCCCTTTGTGTCCCCTCACTGTCCCTGTGTCCCCTCAGTGTCCCTGTGTCCCCTTTGTGTCCCCTCACTGTCCCTGTGTCCCCTCAGTGTCCCTGTGTCCCCTTTGTGTCCCCTCACTGTCCCTGTGTCCCCTCAGTGTCCCTGTGTCCCCTTTGTGTCCCCTCACTGTCCCTGTGTCCCCTCAGTGTCCCTGTGTCCCCTTTGTGTCCCCTCACTGTCCCTGTGTCCCCTCAGTGTCCCTGTGTCCCCTTTGTGTCCCCTCACTGTCCCTGTGTCCCCTCAGTGTCCCTGTGTCCCCTTTGTGTCCCCTCACTGTCCCTGTGTCCCCAGACATCAACGAGCTGACCCTGCCCAAGACGTGTGAGATCGATTTCCCCCCAGTGTCCCCTCAGTGTCCGTGTCCCCTCAGTGTCCCTGTGTCCCTGACTGTCCCTGTGTCCCTGACTGTCCCTGTGTCCCTGACTGTCCCTGTGTCCCTGACTGTCCCTGTGTCCCTGACTGTCCCTGTGTCCCTGACTGTCCCTGTGTCCCTGACTGTCCCTGTGTCCCTGACTGGTCCGTGTCCCCTCAGTGTCCCTGTGTCCCTGACTGTCCCTGTGTCCCTGACTGTCCCTGTGTCCCCTCACTGTCCCTGTGTCCCCAGACATCAACGAGCTGAACCTGCCCAAGACGTGTGAGATCGATTTCTCGGACCAGGACGATCTGCTGCACTTCCGCCTGCTCATCTGCCCCGACGAGGTGCGGGGGCACCGGGGGCACCTGGGGACAATCTGGGGACAACCTGGGGCACCTGGGGACAACCTGGGGACAATCTGGGGCACCTGGGGCACCTGGGGACAACCTGGGGCACCTGGGGACAACCTGGGGCACCTGGGGACACACCTGGGGGGCACTGGGGACACGTGGGGACACACCTGGGGAACCTCCCTGGGGAACCTGGGGGGCACCTGGGGGCACCTCCTGTCCCCTGTGTCACCTCCCTGTCACCTCCCTGGGTCACCTGGGGCACCTGTGTCACCTCCTGCCCCCTGTGTCACCTCGCTGTCACCTCCCAGGGGCCCCTTGCTCAGTCTGCCCCGACAAGATGGGGACGGTCCCCTCCTGTCCCCTCCTGTCCCCTCCTGTCCCCTCCCATCCCCTCCCCCATCCGCTCCTGTCACTTTGGGTTACCCATTGTCCCTGTCCCCCTTCCTGTCCTTGTCCTCACCGTCCCTGTCCCCTCCTGTCCCTGTCCCCTCCTGTCCTCTCTGTCCCTGTCCCCTCCTGTCCTCCCGGTGACATTTCTCTGTCCCCAGGGTTTCTACAAGGGCGGCAAATTTGTCTTCAGCTTTAAGGTCAGTGCTGGGCCACCAACCCTTCCCTGTGGCCACCAACACCCCCCCCCTTGGTCACTAACACCCCCCCCTTGGCCACCAAACCCCCCTGTGGCCACCAACACTTCTCTGGGGCTACCAAACATCCCCATGGGCCACCAAACCCCCCTGTGGCCACCAAACCCTCCCTGTGGCCACCAAACGTCCCCTGTGGTCACCAAAACCCTGCTGTGGCTACCAAACATCTCCTGTGGCCACCAAAAACCCCCTAGGGCCACCAAACCCCTGTTATGGCCCCCAACCCCCTTTGTGGCCACCAAACCCCTGCTGTGGCTACCAGTGGCCATGGGGATGGGGCGAGGTGACCGGTGGCCACCAAACCCTGACCAGTGACCACCAAACCCTGACCGGTGGCCACCGAGCTGTTCCAGGGCTCCCGTAGGTCAGAGGTGGCCCCTGAGGGCTGGTGGCCACCGGACACTGCCTGGTGGCCCGTGGGCCAGCTGAGGGCTGGGGGGGGGGTTGGTGGCCACCGGGGGTGACTCGGTGGCCCCCCAGGTGGGCCAGGGCTACCCCCACGACCCGCCGAAGGTGAAGTGCGAGACGATGGTGTACCACCCCAACATCGACCTGGAGGGCAACGTCTGCCTCAACATCCTCAGGTGGGCCACCAAACACCTGGGGGGCCACCAAACACCTGGGGGGCCACCAAACACCTGGGGGGCCACCAAACCCCTGGGGGACTAGTGAACACCTGGGGGGGCCACCAAACACCTGGGGGCCTAGTGACACCTGGGGGGGCAACATCTGCCTCAACATCCTCAGGTGGGCCACCAAACACCTGGGGGGGCCACCAAACGCCCGGGGGGGCCACCAAACACCCGGGGGGCCTGGTGTCACACCTGGGGGGGCTGGTGTCACACCCGGGGGGCTCGTGACACAACTGGGGGGCTGGTGTCACACCTGGGGGGGCTGGTGACACACCCGGCGGGCTGTGGCCACCTGCTGGTGGCCGTGGTGGCCCTGCTGACCATTGACCACTGGCTGTGGCCACAGTGGCCGTGCTGACCGCTGGCCGTGGCTGTGCTGGCCGTGGTGGCCACACTGACCGCTGACCACTGACTGCTGACCACTGACCCACTGGCCACTGCCTGCTGCCCACTGACCACTGACGGCTGCTCGCTGACTGCTGACCGCTGACCACTGACCTGTGGTGGCCACACTGACTGCTGATCACTGACTGCTGACTACTGACCATACCCACTGACCACTGACCCACTGGCCACTGCCTGCTGCCCACTGACCACTGACCAACTGCCCACTGACCACTGACTGCTGACCACTGACCATACCCACTGCCCACTGACCACTGACCACTGCCTGCTGCCCACTGACCGCTGACGGCTGCCCGCTGACTGCTGACCGCTGAGGCTGCTCGCTGACTGCTGACCGCTGACCACTGACCAACTGACCACTGACCAACTGCCCACTGACCACTGACTGCTGACCACTGACCATACCCACTGCCCACTGACCACTGACCACTGCCTGCTGCCCACTGACCGCTGACGGCTGCCCGCTGACTGCTGACCGCTGACCACTGTCCGCTGACTGCTGACCACTGACCAACTACCCACTGGCCACTGCCTGCTGCCCACTGAAACCGCTGTCCGCTGACTGCTGACCGCTGACCACTGACCGCTGAGCACTGACTGCTGACCACTGAGCACTGACTGCTGACCGCTGAGCACTGACTGCTGACTGTGGCTGTGACTGCTGGCCGTGGCCATGGCTGTGGGGGCCGCAGTGGCCACTGACCGCTGACCATGGCTGTGGCCGCTGACCGCTGGCCGTGGCCGTGGCTGTGGTGACCGTGGCAGTGGCCGCAGTGGCCGCAGTGACTGCTGACCGTTGGCCGTGGCTGTGGCTGTGGTGACCGTGGCAGTGGCAGTGGCCGGCCATGGCTGTGGCTGCTGACTGCTGGCCATGGCCGTGGCTGTGGTGACCGTGGCAGTGGCCGCAGTGGCCGCAGTGACTGCTGACCGTTGGCCGTGGCTGTGGCTGTGGTGGCCGTGGCAGTGGCCGCTGACCGTTGGCCGTGGTTGTGGCTGTGGCTGTGGTGGCCGTGGCAGTGGCCGCTGACCGCTGGCTGTGGCTGTTGCTGTGATGGCCACAGTGGCTGCAGTGACCGCTGACCATGGCTGTGGCTGCTGACTGCTGGCCATGGCCGTGGCTGTGGTGACCGTGGCAGTGGCCGCAGTGCCCGCTGACCGTTGGCCGGGGCTGTGGCTGGGGTGGCCGTGGCCAGGGCTGCAGCGGCCGCTGACCGCTGGCTGTGGCTGTTGCTGTGATGGCCACAGTGGCTGCAGTGACCGCTGACCATGGCTGTGGCTGCTGACTGCTGGCCATGGCCGTGGCTGTGGTGACCGTGGCAGTGGCCGCAGTGACCGCTGACCGTTGGCCGTGGCTGTGGCTGTGGTGGCCGTGGCCAGGGCTGCAGTGGCCGCTGACCGCTGGCTGTGGCTGTTGCTGTGATGGCCACAGTGGCTGCAGTGACCGCTGACCATGGCTGTGGCTGCTGACCGCTGGCCGTGGCCGTGGCTGTGGTGGCCGTGGCAGTGGCCGCAGTGGCCGCTGACCGCTGGCCGTGGCCGGCTGTGCCCTAGGGAGGACTGGAAGCCGGTGCTGACCATCAACTCCATCATCTACGGCCTGCAGTACCTGTTCCTGGTGAGGGACACGCCTGGGGACATGGGGACACCTGGGGGACTTTTGGGGGGGTTTTGGGGGGTTTGGGGTGTCTCCCCCATATTTTGGGCTCCCTCTGAGCCCAAGGTTTCCCCCCAAAAAGGAGCTGAACCCCAAACAAGGGTTTATGGGATTTGGGGGCTGTGAAGGGATTTTGGGGGATTTTAGTGGGATTTTAGGGAATTCTGGGATTTGGGGGCGTTTGGGGCGTGTCCCCCCATATTTTGGGATCCCCCTGACCCCATATTTTCCCCCAGAGGACCCAAACCCCAAACAATGGCTCATGGGATTTGGGGCACTTTTAGGGAATTCTGGGGGGTTTTAGAGAATTCTGGGATTTATGGGGACATGAAGGGATTTCGGGGGATTTTAGGGGAATTTTGGGATCCCCCTGACCCCAAATTTTCCCCCAGAGGATCCAAACCCCAAACAAGGGCTCATGGGATTTGGGGCAGTTTTAGGGAATTCTGGGGGGTTTTAGGAAATTCTGGGATTTGGGGGGACATGAAGGGATTTTAGGGGATTTTCTGGGAATTTTGGGATCCCCCTGACCCCAAATTTTCCCCCAGAGGATCCAAACCCCAAACAAGGGCTCATGGGATTTGGGGCAGTTTTAGGGAATTCTGGGGGGTTTTAGGAAATTCTGGGATTTGGGGGGACATGAAGGGTTTTGGGGGATTTTAGTGGCATTTTAAGGATTTCTGGGACTTTAAGGGAATTCTGGGGGGTTTTAGGAAATTCTGGGATTTGGGGGGACATGAAGGGTTTTGGGGGATTTTAGTGGCATTTTAAGGATTTCTGGGATTTTAGGGTATATGAAGGGATTTTAGGGGGTTCTGGTGGAATTTTGGGGTCCCCCTGACCCCAAATGTCCTCCCAGGACCCAAACCCCAAACAAGGGCTTACAGAATTTGGGGCGGTTTTCTGAGATTTGGGGGCACATGAAGGGATTTTGGGGGGTTCTAGTGGAATTTTGGGATCCCCCGGAGCCCAAATTTTCCCCCTCAGGACCCAAACCCCAAACAAGGGCTTACAGAATTTGGGGCGGTTTTAGGGATGCTGGGGTGTTTTAGGGAATTCTGGGATTTGGGGGCACATGAAGGGATTTTGGGGGGTTCTAGTGGAATTTTGGGATCCCCCGGAGCCCAAATTTTCCCCCTCAGGACCCAAACCCCAAACAAGGGCTTACAGAATTTGGGGCGGTTTTAGGGATGCTGGGGTGTTTTAGGGAATTCTGGGATTTGGGGGCACATGAAGGGATTTTGGGGGGTTCTAGTGGAATTTTGGGATCCCCCGGAGCCCAAATTTTCCCCCTCAGGACCCAAACCCCAAACAAGGGCTTACAGAATTTGGGGCGGTTTTAGGGATGCTGGGGTGTTTTAGGGAATTCTGGGATTTGGGGGCACATGAAGGGATTTTGGGGGGTTCTAGTGGAATTTTGGGATCCCCCGGAGCCCAAATTTTCCCCCTCAGGACCCAAACCCCAAACAAGGGCTTACAGAATTTGGGGCGGTTTTAGGGATGCTGGGGTGTTTTAGGGAATTCTGGGATTTGGGGGCACATGAAGGGATTTTGGGGGGTTCTAGTGGAATTTTGGGATCCCCCGGAGCCCAAATTTTCCCCCTCAGGACCCAAACCCCAAACAAGGGCTTACAGAATTTGGGGCGGTTTTAGGGATGCTGGGGTGTTTTAGGGAATTCTGGGATTTGGGGGCACATGAAGGGATTTTGGGGGGTTCTAGTGGAATTTTGGGGTCCCCCTGACCCCAAATGTCCTCCCAGGACCCAAACCCCAAACAAGGGCTTACAGAATTTGGGGCGGTTTTAGGAAAATTCTGCGGTTTGGGGCGGTTTTTAGGGCCAAACAAGGGCTTACGGAATGTGGGGCGGTTTTAGGGATTTTGGGGGTTTTTAGGGAATTCTGAGATTCGGGGGGACATGAAGGGATTTCAGGGGATTTTCTGGGAATTTTGGGGTCCCCCTGAGCCCAAATTTTCCCCCTCAGGACCCAAACCCCAAACAGTGACTTGCAGAATTTGGGGCGGTTTTAGGGATTCCGGGGTGTTTGAGGGAATTCTGGGATTTGGGGGGACATGGAAGGATTTGGGGGGGTCCGGTGGGATTTTGGGGTCCCCCTGATGCCGAGCCTCGCCCCCAGGAGCCGAACCCCGAGGACCCCCTGAACAAGGAGGCGGCCGAGGTGCTGCAGAGCAACCGGCGCCTGTTCGAGCAGAACGTGCAGCGCTCGCTGCGGGGCGGCTACGTGGGGGCCACCTACTTCGAGCGCTGCCTCAAGTGCCCCCCGAGAGACCCCCGGGAATCCCCCACACAAGGGAAAAAAACAACAACAACAACAAAAAAGAATTACCCCAATAAAAAGCTGCGGAAAAAAAAAAAAAAAAAAAACCCCGATAAAAAGCTGCGGAAATTGGGGGAAAAACCCCTAAAAAACGCGGGAAAAATGAAAAAAAAACCCCAATGAAAAACACCCAAAAAAACAATAAAAATCCCCCCAAAAAAACCCAATTAAAAAACCCCCTCCCCCCCAAAAAAAATCCCAATAAAAACCTGCAAAAATTGGCTGAAAAACGCCCAAAAACTCGGGAAAAATGAAAAAAAAAACCACCCGAAAAACCCAATAAAACCCCCCCCAAAACTCAATAAAAACCTGGAGAAAAACCCCAATAAAAACCTGCAAAAAATCGGCTCAAAAACGCCAAAAAACTCGGGAAAAATGAAAAGAAAGCAATGAAAAACACCCAAAAAACCCCAATAAAACCCCAAGAAAAAAACCCCAATAAAAAAAACAATTAAAAAACCCAAAAAACCCCAAAAACCAATAAAAACCTGCAAAAATTGGCTGAAAAACGCCCAAAAACTCGGGAAAAATGAAAAGAAAGCAATGAAAAACACCCAAAAAACCCCACTAAAACCCCAAGAAAAAAACCCCAATAAAAACCTGCAAGAAATCGGCTCAAAAACCCCAAAAAACTCGGGAAAAATGAAAAGAAAGCAATGAAAAACACCCAAAAAACCCCACTAAAACCCCAAGAAAAAAACCCCAATAAAAACCTGCAAGAAATCGGCTCAAAAACCCCAAAAAACTCGGGAAAAATGAAAAGAAAGCAATGAAAAACACCCAAAAAACCCCACTAAAACCCCAAGAAAAAAACCCCAATAAAAACCTGCAAGAAATCGGCTCAAAAACCCCAAAAAACTCGGGAAAAATGAAAAGAAAGCAATGAAAAACACCCAAAAAACCCCACTAAAACCCCAAGAAAAAAACCCCAATAAAAACCTGCAAGAAATCGGCTCAAAAACCCCAAAAAACTCGGGAAAAATGAAAAAAAAAACCACCCGAAAAACCCAAAAAACCCCCCCCCCCAAAACCCAATAAAAACCTGGAGAAAAACCCCAATAAAAACCTGCAAAAAATCGGCTCAAAAACCCCAAAAAACTCGGAAAAAATGAAAAGAAACCAATGAAAAACACCCAAAAAACCCCAAGAAAACCCCAAGAAAAAAAACCCCAATTAAAAAAAAACACAATAAAAAACCCCAAAAACCAATAAAAACCTGCAAAAATTGGCAGAAAAACCCCCAAAAACTCGGGAAAAATGAAAAGAAAGCAATGAAAAACACCCAAAAAACCCCAAGAAAACCCCAAGAAAAAAAACCCCAATTAAAAAAAAACACAATAAAAAACCCCAAAAACCAATAAAAACCTGCAAAAATTGGCTGAAAAACCCCAAAAAACTCGGGAAAAATGGGAAAAAAAAAAAAAAAATCCCCCCAAAAATCCCCAATAAAAATCGCCCAAAATCCCAATAAAAACCTGGAAAAAAAACCCAATAAAAACTTGTAAAAATCGGCTGAAAAACCCCAAAAACCTCGGAAAAAAAATGAAAAAAAACCAATGAAAAACACCCAAAAAACCCAAATAAAACCCCAATAAAAAAAAAAAAAAAACCAAAAAAAAAAACCCCAAAAAACAAAAAAAACCGCACAAAAA